ACTTCTTGGAAAATTACTGGAGGATATTTAGTGGTATACCAGTTTGCTATTACTGTCTTCTGTCCTTCCAATTTGGTGGCTTTGACCAACCCCATATTTCTGAAGAAAACGGCATACATTACTTTTTTTTATTGTCGTTGTCTTTTCACCATTGTCGATGCGAAATGATCTTCAAAGAGCCATACTTTGCTTTCTTGACATGTTGGAACTTCAAAAAACATTATACACGTTACATCACCCGTTACAATTTTTGAAATGATGTGGTGGCCACCATCATTTAGCAATTGAAAGGTTTCTTTACTGGTACTCACAAGCTCCTATTTTTGGTTATCAGTTAGATTATGAGGAATCCACAAAGGCAAATTATTTTTTTTCATGTGCAATTCTTCATGAATAATTTTGTGTATGATTTCAGATCCAATGTTAAGTTCCTTCTGTATCCTTTGGTAGGTACAATAGTTATCACCCGTTAACAATTTTTGTATGGCAGACGCCTGATCTGGGATTTCTGCCGACCGCAGCTTTCCTATGTGTTATTCATCCTGAAAAGAAAATTGCGACCTCTTCAAAAAATTTTAAACTATCTGAATACAGTATCCCGACATGGAGATTTATCACCAAATGCTAATTGCAACCATTGAACGCAATCCTCTAGATATAATAGCGCTTTAAAATCTTAGAAAATTCAGAGCATGATAATGTTCTTGCATTAACTACGCATGTTCTCTTCTATTTAAAATTAATTCTACCCTAAGCAACTTGAAGTAAGTTTGTAAAAAAACTATCTGCTGTGTTAAAATACTTTATTTTTTTTTAATTAAACCGTTGATTTTTTTGTAACTTCTCGTATGAGCGTATCTCAAAAATTTTAGAAATATCCTCAAATCAGTCGTAATAGACCTTCAGTCATATTGAGCAAAGCGTAAGAGTGTCCTCTTCACTCTCAAATTAAGGCACCGAAGAGAATAAATCCCTGAATATAGACTTTTTATCTCCATTTATACATCACTTTCGAAGAGTACTCACAACAACTGCACAAACTCGCCGTATCTACAATCAATGTGCCTCAGCGCCAAGCCATATCAATAAGATATACATCAAATTCTGGTGAATAAGTTGATTTACCATAATGAAGCCAAATATTCTACGAGTGGAAAAGCAATGCATGCTTTTTATACTAAAGCAGAAGTCAAGCGGGCACCATGATTTGGTCTTCAAACGAGCTCATTGCTCTTAGTGAAGTCTGGTTAAAATGTAATGATTCTTCATTGTAGGTACTGCCACACCTGGAAAGCAATATTCAGACCATATGTTTTTATGATATCGATTGATTCGAAATTAACAAGGAAATTCTTTTAAAATGTTTGCTTTTATTGTTACAAGTATTGTAAAAGTATTGTAAAGTATTGTAAAATTTCAAATGAATAGAAGAAATTGTTTATATATATATATATAAGAACTAAGCTTTTTCTTTGAAGCTATAGCTTTTAATCATAAAAAAGATTGTACTTTTAATCATTTAAGGCTGGAATTTAAGGTGGAATACATTTTCAAACAAAAAAAAATGCTTCGATTTTTATAAGAATTTGTGACATTATAACTCATTTATTTATTTATAATATTGTGTTCTTAAAATTCCAAAATATTTCATAATTAATAAGTTTTTCCTTTTAAAATGTAAAGGGATAGCTCATTCAATATTACGATATAGGAGGAAAAATGCAAAACACATTTTATAAAAGAAAAAATATGTCAACTAGGAAAAAAAGGAGTAATATGATAAAATAAGTAATTCTCTACAGGATTGTGAAGCCAGAATATAATATTAATGTTCAAGTATTTTTATATATGAAAAAATATTTCAAATTTGGGTGCTATTCTTTAGCATTAGCCAAAGACAGCCTTCATACTGATGCTTTAAAAATAGAAATGCTTAACATATGGAAAAAAAATGTTGAATAAGTGTCTGGTGGTGTACGTTATGTTTGAATCATGTAAAAAACATGTGAGTATTAATCCTTAGTTTTATAAATGATTTTTTTAATATTGAAAAATAATGTTTCTTAATAATGCTTTGACCCCAATACTTTGTTTATTTTTTCTATAATATTTACAGCTGCTGCTTAAAAGACAGGATTGAATAATAATACTTGAATTCTTATGTATGCCTGAATGAAATAAAATGTGGAAGAAGTAGTGATAGAGGAAAATCTTAAAAATGAAATTTTACCATTACAATTTTGAAATATTCATTCATGTTACAGGAAAGTACACAAAATCCACTTCAAAGTAGTATGCCTATTTAATATAAAAACAAAAGTTATGTTAAATGTACTTTATGTTCTTATTTATTACTTCATGATATTCATTGAATTCTAAGATAATTTCAACGTCCACTAATACCATTAAGATCGTTATATAACCCCCACTATGTCTATATTTTTATCGTATTCTGTAGCCTTTCTAATCAAGAGAGACATCAAAGGCATTTAAATTCAGTTTTCGTATTCTCTATTTTAATTATGCATACACTTAATGTAAAAAAAACCATGAAAAGAGAGCTGAAAAGTATAAATAAGTATTTCACACACATAAGGAAGTAACTGAAATAAAGAATATTTAAACAATAACATTTTACTTAAAAATGGATTTTAATCTAAAACCATCTGAAATTTAGGCTAAATGAGAAATGTACATAACCGGTATCATATTTCAAATACTTAAATGATAACCTCGTAATATTGATCCAAAATTATCTCAGGAAAGTGACACCTGCGCATTATGTTCAGATATTCTAAATCTGATTTAATAAGAAATTTAAGGTACATTTTTACTTTTTTTCATATTAATATTATTACTTCACTCAAATGATCACCAGCAGGAATTCATTACTCGAAACCTATAAAATGCATTCAATTCTACTTCGCAAACAATGGAAATTGCTCATAATCTTTCAAGGAATAAATATCTAAATTCATAATCTCATTCCCACAGTTTTAAAGCTATGAATAATATTTCGAAACATATTACCAATTTACAATTCCATTAGATAATCAGTATTAGCAAACATAACAAATATATTCGCTAATAACTCAGAAAAATTTCTCGTTTTTAGTTAAACTGCTAATACCAAAGGATGTTTTTTGAGCGTGGAGGGCTTACTTTGGTCACCAAGGAATTTCGATCATGACTTTCGTGGTAAGTTCTGTTCAATTTAAATCACAGGTTTAAGTTCTTTTTCTAATTCCTACTAGGAGAGTTCACACTCTCCCTATATATATATATACACTGGTGTGCAAAAATTAAGGACGAAGTCGAAAAATTAGCATATCAGCTGAACGAAGAGGCAGAGCGGACAGAAAGACCAATCAGGAGATTAAGTGAGGTGATGTACGGTAGCACATGCGCAGATATGCAGGTAGACGTAATGGAGGAGTGTCTGAGTAGTAAAGCATGTTGTCGGTGTAAGATTAGTATTTCTGGCAAAGAGATTGCACACCGTATAGCAGTTAAAATCACACCGAGTTGCTGCCTCAGCTAGAAATGGTGAATAATCAATCTGTTAGACGACATCTGGATGCTTTTACCCGAGGTCGAATGATTGGGAAGTTATAGGAAGGTCGCAGTGTGACAAGTGGGGCTGCAGAGTTCGGAATTGCTCACAGCATCGTTTCACGACTTTGGAGACAATTTCAAACTACAGGAACAGCTATCCGGGGGTTCAGTAGTGGTCGTCCACGAGGAACCACACCCGCAGATGACCGGTATATTGCCTTACAGGCCAGAAGAAACAGGCGGCAGACAGCGGGAGAAATCTCTAGACACACGACACAGGCGACTGGACGACCGATATCGCGTTTTACCGTGGCCAGAAGACTGCACGGTGGTGGTCTGTTTGCATGACGCCCTGTACGTTGTGTACCTCTAACGCCTGCCCATTGGAGAAGGCGTTCTCTGTTTAGTCGGGAATACCGGAATTGGAGAGACACTGAATGGAGATGAGTACTCTTTACAGATGAGAGCAGATTCAGTCTGAGTAGCGATTCTCATCGCATACTCATCTGGAGAGAGCGGGGAAGCCGCAATCATCCCTCGAACATCATTGAAAGGGACAGGTATGGAGGTGGCAGTGTTCTCGTTTGGGGAGGCATCATGCTTGGTAGTCGTACAGACCTTCACATCTTCGACGCAGGTTCAGTCAACGGGACCCGTTATTGTAACGAGATTTTTCTTCCATATGTGCGTCTTTTTAGAGGCGCTATGGGTCCGCAGTTCCTTTTCATGGACGACAATGCACCATGTCATCGCACAGTAGCTACCGAACAGCTCTTAGAGAATGAGGATATTGAACGTATGGATTGGCCGGCACGATCTCCGAATCTCAATCCCATCGAGCATGTATGGGATTTTCTAGGCAGACGCTTGGCAGCTCGTACCTTACCACCAGTAACGATTCTGGAGCTTCGATTGGCGCTGCAAGACGAATGGGCAGCAATGCCTCAACAACTCATTGACACCCTCATTCTCAGCATGGGCAGACGCTGTGAAACCTGCCTAGCAGTCAGGGGAGATCATATCTCCTACTAAAGACCGGATATTTCTTGCTGGACACCCATCACAGGGATGTTTCGGCCTTCAGTCGCATTGCGCTCCATGCTACTTTTTCAATAAAGCTTCTTTTTATCCCTCTGATTTCTCTTTTAGTAAGTGTTGCTTACATTACTCATGTCCTTACGTATTGGGGATCTTACGGTATTAAATGTGTTGATTTGGAATGCTTTTTACAAAGTTATACTGAAAAAACCGTCTCGTCCTTAATTTTTGCACACCAGTGTATATATATATATTGTTCAAATACATTTTTAAACTTGTATTGGATGACACTTGATGTTAATGGAGTTTTTTTAAACATTAATTCATTAATTTAATTAAAAAATGAATAAATAGAAACAAAAATAATAGTTCAACAGCATATACAGAAAAGAAAGCCATTCGTTATTATCCCTATAGGGCAATGGATAGCGCATTGGACATCTAATCCAAAGGTCGTGTGTTCAAATCCCATCTGGGATGGCTTGATTTCTGAGAATACGGTTTTTTTTTACTAGACTGTTTTATTAGAATAATTAAATTTTATTAATAAATAAATGGTAAGAAACAAACAAAAAAAATAGTCGAACACCCTATATAGACAGGAAAATATAAAATATTGCAAGGAAAGGCGCTTTCTATTTTGTCACTTAATATTGTGATTCTGTCATATGTATATACATATTTATATTAATTATAACTATTTATTGAAAAGTAACTAAAATAAAGTTTTTCTCTATGGTGCCCTAAGTAGGAATTGAATAAAAAAAATTTTAAAATCACTTGTTCCTTTACAAATCAAATCAATGGAGGAAAGTCGTGTTACACCAAACCTTAACTCGAGTTTATTCTTAATTATTTGCGAATGTGTGTGTTAGGGGATAGAGGTAACTGTTGAGATATGTATTAGACATTTAATCCTAATTAAAAGTTACAATATATTTTAATGAGATGTTAATCCAAACCAATTAATCCTTGTTGGGTGAATAACGGGATCGTAATTAAAGAGTAAGTCTCGTAATTACATTTAAAGTTCACCACGTGTGGGAGAAGTTGCATCATTAAATATAGGGGGATTCAAAATCCATTTGTTAGAATAGTGCGTGTTATGGAATTATGAATAACCAACTTGGTTTTGAATATTTTAATCTATCCTAGTTTAAAATTATGAGGCATGTTAACTATTTAAAGTGCAATATTGGGAGAAACAGGTGATCAGGAATTAATATGTATGTTTACCTTTCACTTAATTTGGATTTAAATAAAATATCTTTACGTAGCTATAAATCGCAAACTATTCCTTTACACCTCACTCGCCATGTGTATATATCTCAAATAATTTTAAGAGTATGCAGTAATACATCGTAGACTATAAATACATCGCGGAAATGATATTAATACACACATTTATTTAAATTCATTAAAACCTCTGAAAAATAACACTTTATCAAGTTTTACAAGACATAATCCGTTTCTTATTTTCAATATTAGTTAAATATACATACATTTTCCTTAACTATATACTTCTCCTCATAATTAGATATTTTATAATCTACAAAATATTTCTCTTGCATACTTAAGAAAAACTGTAAGGTGGGCATTATAATATTAAGGTAACACTTAGGTTGTTGGAGAAGCATTGAAGTATCGAGAACTTTTGTTTGCAGTTTATTAAATTGCATAATTTGCTCTCCTTATGAAAACAGTTTGAAGTGTAGTAACCTTGTCTTAGGTCTTTACACAGAACTTTATCGGAAAATTCTCTGATTAGTCTCGTGATTGAACAATGTAATGTTTTACATCAAAAGATTTTAAACTTTTAGATTTCTTTTATGCGCTGCCTTGGATAAATACAGTATTTACGTTAAATTATCTTCATGTTGTACATTTAAGAAAAATGTTTTGCTTTGATTGCTGAAAAAATTTAATGAGAAATAATGTATTAAAGGAGGAATTATTTTGTTTTGATATGATGAATTTTTCATTTAAAGTTGAATATTTTTTAAAAAAACATGTAATATTCCATACATGTTCTAAAGAATATTTTGAAAATAGGCATTACAATGAAAAAGAATTGCGTTAGCAAGAAGGTGAAACAAATCTCATCCTCTTTGGTAAAAATAATAATTCCTATTTACTATTAAATAAATATAAGACTTAAAGTATCCGACTACTTGTGACAACATTTTTTTTAAAGATGGAGATATGGGGATTTTTTGTGGTTTTTAGATTTGTTTAGTACATGTTTTTAAAAAATATGCTAAAATTAAGAAGATAAAAAGAAATTATTAGTACTAAAATGTGGGGAAAATTAGGTAAATATTTACGAAAAATAACATAAACACGATTCATTCTGTACCAAACGTTTATGAACAAATTTTCAATTTTTCAATTCTGATGTGTTGCTATGTTATTCGTTTTTGAAATAACCTTCAGTATAGGAGACGTTTTAATTTTTACAAAAACTAGAACACTTTATCTTAGTTATTATATGAAATTGCTTAAAAAAACAGTGATTATATTCCATAAAGGACTGTAAATTTTGTAATAAAACAGTAATTGATAAATCTGAAAGTTAAATCACTTCTACTGTTATACAGAGCATTCACAAAAATTTCAGTTTTTTTTTTTCAAAACTGTTTTAGCAATCGCTGGCCCCGTTTGAGCATTTAAAAGAAACCACATTTCGAGTAAAATGCGTTTTAAAGTAAGACATCTCGCTTAAAGTAATGACATCTGCTTTTACTAAAACACTTGTATTTTTTATTCTAGTGAACGGAAAATAATAAAGTTGGTATTTTTATAACGCTACTAAAATGGTCTATTAGATAAAATCATAAAACAAATTTGTAACTTTTTGGCAAAATTCATAATTTTAGGGTATTCGGATACCTTAATTGCAATTTATTTATTGAAAAATACCTAAGAAAAAAACGTCTGATTACCATTTTATTCCCTAGTAGCATTCATATTTATTTAAATATAAATTTCCATTGCTTAACATTGTACAGAAAAGAAATATTTCTCTTCACTCTTCAGATGAGTCTCAAAAAAAACATCTATTGCATTTTTAAAGCTGAATTTCTTTCCAAGACTTTGGCTATTCTGCTGCTTTCTCTCGCTATATATCTTGGTAAATATATTGAAAAATTTCCTAGAAGATAAATTTGAAACATCCATCAGAGGAAGTAAAATTCTCGCAGCCAAAATAGACAGAAACCTATTCACACTTTGGAAAAAGAAAAAATATTACATGAAAGCATCATATATACGTATCATATATTCATACATCTTTAAAAGAATTTTGATCATTTCAGATACATATGTATCTATTGAATATCAGGTCTTTGCATCGAATATGCCACACTTTCTCTCTCTGTGTATATTATACCTATAACACAATATCTATATATACATAAGTATACATGTATTCCTTTAAGTAGGGAAGAACTATATAACCGGTATATTTCACAAACTGTAGTTAAATTTTATTAAAAAATAGAAGTCTTATCTCAGGGAGAAAATTTTCCAAACTTTCCACTATTCCTTAGATATTTATAAAATGTAAACATTCTGAGTCAATCTGTATTTTAAAATATTCATCGTATTTCTTAGAACTAAATTAATTTTTTATTTTTCTCTCTTAAAAATGTATACAATGACCAATTTTTTCATACTGGAGTGTAGAAAACATAGGTTATGTTTTATGAAATAAGTATTTTTCTATCGTAAATTAAAATAGTTGTTCATCACATGGTCAGTTGCACTAAGATGAATCTATGAAATATAACCTGTAAATGAATACATACAATAATGCAAGGATGTTATTTGTAAAATATAAATTATGGTTGATATAAATATAGGGTGAGTATGAAAAGTTGAACCCGAATTTAAAAAACCATATATTCGAACCACTGCACATATTACAATAAGTGATATACGAATATAAAGAGAAATATGGCATTTTTTTCTGTTACTAATGTTTGATGTGTGACCCTCTTGTTGCAAGGCATACGTCCAATCTGTAACCCAATTCATTCCATACATTTTGTTAGCATCTCTCCGTCAATGGTTTGTAATGTTGCACAAATGCTTACTTGTCAATTTTTGTTATTTGTTGTGTCAATTGCAAATAATGCGTCTTGAAATTTGTTTTTTTTTTTTCCGTAAAATTTTTCACACCATTTTTCGGGGGATTCCAAGTTTGCAGGCGGCAACTATCTTAGACTTCCGTGGAATTCGAACATACTGTGCCTCACCCGCTTCGCTGCTTCTTTCAAGACGCTTAGCCAGCTTTCTTTTAAAGCAAGCAAACTATTTTTTTAATTCATGATACCATCGCAGAATGCTCTTATTTGTTACTGTTTCTTTTCCGTAGTGATATGATTTCTGAATGCATGTTGCAACGAAATAACTGGAAAAAAAACCCGTGCATTCTCTAATACGTACCTACTCATGCTTGGATTTCTATAACAACGATCTTGAATGTGCCGTTGATCATTGGTGGGAAAAAATTGGTATATTGTTACGAATTTTGTGTAAATAGTGTAAATAATTTGTATTTGGATGTATAAGGCATTGATATTACTCTATGTTATAGGGGAGACCGGGGCAAGATGACGAATGCCTTAATTTTTCAGTATTCCACTAAGTAGCAGCATCAAATGAACACTACTGGCTCTCCTTTTGGCCTTTCGTTAAACAATAGTATAAACAGGCTGAAATCGCCCTTTTTGTGTTAGTTGTGAAGCTTTGATTGTTTTTTGCTGCCACGATATAACTTTTATGCATGTGTAAATAAGCTCTGCTACAGATACAGGGAAGAAATAACGATTTCTCTTTAATATTTATGAGTAACTTGGTTTAAATACTACTTATTACCATGAATAAATGTCAGTTAATTGCCTTCCTTCATGGTAATGAGAACGAATATTTTTAAATAGACAGTCTGGGGCAAGATGACGATCCGAAACACGGGGCAAGATGACGAGCTCGTCATCTTGCCCCGTGTTACGGAATTTATTAAACTAACTATTGTTGTCCATTCTATTAAATCCTGTTAACACTTGTTTGTCTGTGTGTATGTCCGCGCGCTTCCATCTCTTCTGGGGCTAAGGTGTGCATCGGATCGGGAAAGGTTTCATTCGAAAGGAGGTGACTAGAGGAAGACATTTTTGCCATCCACTAAGCCCCCCCCCTAAAGAGGAAGGAATTTAACAATAATTTGTTGCTTTAGAGCTACTGGCTTTTACCTGCCACCTTTTCTGATTTTTTGGGAGAAAGCGAATGCTTCCTGAACTTGTAGATACAGCCCCACCAGGAACTGTAGGCAACAGTAGTGATAAGGCCTGGGACAATGAGGGCACCTTTTTCTCTTTTTTGAAGCACGTTTATCTTCATGTGAAATCAAGCAAATAAACTCCTACTCTGTTGATTTTTAACAATCACAAAACTCATATAACTTTGCAGGCTATCTCATATTG